TATAGATTTTGTTTTCTGAAGAATAAATATATATATATATTTTTTTTAAATTTTTGTATGAACAAATTTGATTGCTAAAAAGTTGTTGGATTTTTCTTCTTTTTTTTTTTGTAGCCTGGTACAAATGGTCAACATGCATTTTATCAATTAATTCATCAAGGTACAAAATTAATACCATGTGATTTTATTGCTCCAGTTGAAACTCATAATCCAATACGTGATAATCTTCATCATAAAATTTTATTAGCTAATTTTCTTGCTCAAACTGAAGCATTAATGCGTGGTTTAACTGAAGAAGAAGTTCGACAAAGTTCAAATGCAAATGATGAACTTCTTATTTATCATAAAACATTTCGTGGTAATCGACCAACAAATTCATTTGTTTTACCACGTTTAACACCATTTATATTGGGTATGTTAACTGCTGCATATGAACATAAAATATTTGTTCAAGGACAAATATGGAATATTAATTCTTATGATCAATTTGGTGTTGAACTTGGTAAACAATTAGCAAAAGTTATTCTACCAGAATTAGATGCAACTCAACCTGTTACGGCTCATGATTCATCAACAAATGGTTTAATTAATTTTATTAATAAATATAGAAAATGGACACCAACAACAAAATAAACAATAAAAATAAACATTCATTATAACTTCTTAATATAACCCTTTAGTAGATCCATTTTTATTTTATTCTATTTTAGAAATAGGAACAAAAAAAACGAATCAAAAAATGAGAAACTTCTTAGGTAGTGAATATAATATAGAAATATATAAAATATTAATTTGGACAATATCATGTCGAATGATGAGATATGGCTTGTGATCGATCAGTTTTTTTGAATAGTCATGTTTTTTTTTGAATTGAATTATTCCCTTAGATTGTATTACAATCCTTATTGTTTCTTTCTAATTCTAATATTATTATTATTATTACGTTCTATATTTAGCTAATAAAGACTAGTCAATAAAAATAAATTCATTTCTTTTAATAAAACATGAACTATATAATAATACTTTAGATTAATAACATTTTTTATAATCTCGAATAATCTAAATGGTAAAATTAAAATAAAAACATATATAGATTTTTGGTTTTTTTGCTCTTTATTTCATTATTATCCTCTTTAATATAGAAACCCATTCTTCTTCAAGCACATGAACGTTCCTTAACTAAAATTTGTTATAATCGTGAAGGTGATCTTTTATTTTCAGCTGGTAAAGATAAATTTCCATCTGTATGGTATTCAATTAATGGAGAGCGTTTGGGTTCATATAATGGACATAATGGAGCAGTATGGTCTATAGATGTTAATTGGAATTCAACAGCATTTGTATCTGCATCCGGTGATAGTACTGTTCGTGTTTGGGATGTTCAAACAGGACGTGAACGAAATCTTTATCAACTTGATACACCATGTCGTTGTTGTGCATTTAGTTATGATGGAAATATGATTTTATATACAAATGATGATGTTATGGGTAAACCATGTGAAATGTATTTAACAGATATTAGAATACGACGTATGTTGTTGTTAATTTTTGTTTGTAAATAAGTTTTTTTTTTTTTTTTTTGTCTTTTTATAGCTAATGAAGGTTCATCAGTTCGTATTAATATAACACAAAAAGGACTTCGAAAAGTAACAAGTAGTTTATGGGGTACTTTAGATGAATTTATTGTAACTGGTCATGATAATGGTGAACTTGTTCAATGGGATATTAAAGTAGATATTGATTTCTTTTTTTTTTTGTCTTTTTTTTTATTTTAGTTTTGATGATAATCAATTATTTTAGGCTATGGATGATGTACGTAGAGAAAAACCACATCAAGGACAAATTATAGATTTACAAACAAATAAAGATTTAACTTTTCTAATTTCATCATCAAAAGATTGCACAGCTAAAGTAAAATTATTTTATGAAAATTAAAAATTTTGACTATACAACGGGATATATATATATAGGTTTGTTGAGAACGACATCGTCTATCTAATGGTGTACGTATTATCAGATGCTACTGGGTCTGTAGAAGTGAACTAAAGTTAATAGGATCACGTCATATAGAAGTTATGAGCCAATAAAATGAAAATTCTATGTTTTTTTAAACTATTTCAGAATAAGAAATATTGTCCCGAGTAAAGGACTGAACAACAGCCAGGATCCGTGGATTTTCGCCAGGAATCCATAAGAAAGATGTCTCGTACCTCATCCACTTGAAAGTTTATCAACGACTTAAATAAATTGATGAATTCTCTTCAAAAATGATCAATTCAAAGACTGATTAGATCAAGAAATACTTCATAAAATCTATGAATTTATTTTGAAAAAAATTTTAGAATTTATAGAAGAAATCTGAATTGCGATAATATTTTCTCTCAATGAATCGACTGTCTTTTCTGTTCGTGTATTGTCTAACTTTTAATTTTTAGTGTTCATGCTGAACAATCAAATGAGAACGTGCAGAATTAAAATATTCTTATAGCATTTATCTGCCTAGGAACTTGATCAATTTAATTAAGAATTTAGTATAAATTGAAAAATAAAAAGTTGAATTTCTACAGATCGAAACAAAAATCAATTGAAGACTCAACATAACTTCGCGAACATTTTATTAAACAATACTGAAAGATTATTTTCTCAAGTAACATATACCTATTTCAACTCAACTAATACGAGTTTCAATTAGTGAAAACTTCAGTGCAACGTCGAGCAAATCATCAACATAATGAGAAAAAGATAAAATGATGGTTGAAGTTCCTAGAAATAAATTTCATCACAAAAGACATCTATTAATAGTTCTTTTGGTATTACAGTAAACGAGGATGAACCATAAACTTGAGTTTGGTTCACTTCTGACGTCCGTTCTATTGCGTACACTATTAGATACAAGAAGTTTTTCTTTACAAGTCTATTCCTTTCTGTAGTCAGAAATCACTGAAAAACTTATAATTTCCTTTGAAATAACAAAAACAAAGACTTTCTCCTGTTTCTAGTTGTTTGATATTGAAACATTAGAACATTTAAAAACATATACAACTGAACGTCCTATTAATTCTGCAGCAATTTCACCACTTAAAGATCATGTTATACTTGGTGGTGGTCAAGAAGCTATTGAAGTATTTAATTTTGAATAATGTTTCAAAGTTTTTTTATTATTTTGAATTATTATTTAGGTCACACAAACTGCAGTCCGAACAGGTAAATTTGAAGCTCGATTTTTTTCATTTAATATTTGAAGAAGAATTTGCTCGAGTAAAAGGACATTTCGGACCTATAAATACTATCGCTATACATCCAGATGGAAAAAGGTTTGTTAAATAAATATATTTTTTTTAAATTTTATTTTCTATATTGATATTTTATTCTAGTTATGCTAGTGGAGGTGAAGATGGTCTTGTACGGATACATTATTTCGATAAAGATTATCTTGATTATGATGTTGTTTATTAAACCTTGTTTTTTTTCTTGTTTATTTGTTATTGTTATAAAACAGTATAAGCACAAAAAAAAAAGAATAAAAAAAGTCAAAACATGATCATTGTTAAAGTACTTCTCTTTTTTTTTGTATATAATCAAGGAAGATTTTGTGTTAATTTCCGTTAAGTTTTTTCCGAGTCTTTCTACTACTCCTTCCTGCACACGACTGAGAATAGAAGACTATTCACAAGGCATAGTAGAAGGTCGTGGGTCTTTCAAAAGTGTTTTTTGAATATCCAATAAATTTCTTGAGGTTTTATCATCTATACCCCAGCTGTTAAGTAAAAAATAGTAATCTTTTGTAATAACAATTACTATTTTTTCTAGTAAAAAAAGTGTTTTTCTGACACTTAGTTTCAAAAAACACTTATTTGAAGTTGGAGATGAGGTGGAATATCCATAAAAGAATCTATGTGATTCAAACCGAACAAAGATACAACATGGGAAATGTATGACTTTTTATGGGAGAGGGGGGGGGGGACTCTGAGCTAAGATTAAAATACCTAACGCTGCTTTCCTACAAAGAAAATCCTATAGGAAAATCTTCTAAAATATTTTCGTAAATTTCAAATGTTTGATAAAGAATTATGTTATGTGCGCAATAAATAATATAAATGCTGAAAGCTAACGGTATATCGATGTGCTATAATTAGCATACAATCCTTTGACAAAATATGAAATTTTAACTTGATGTAAAGAAAGAAACCAGTGAGTGTTTATTGATCTGTGTCGTGATATTAAATGAATGTATATAGAGGTTAAATCAATGAAATGAAGAATTCGTCTTCAATAGTTATATATTCTTGGAAATGAATTAAATACTATCGATTTTGTATCAATATAATAAAGCGAAGAGCAAATAGCGAAATAAATAATTTGAATTTATGAGAGACGGTACAAAAACTTTTTTAGATTGAAATAAATATGGAAAAAAGCATGTATCGATGTTTCACTGGTTTGCCAGATCGAATTGATCGTGTCATCATTGATCTATTACATAATTCAGTTTAAATTTTATTTAGAGAAAAAATATTTGTCATATACAATTGCTGAATTTAATGATCTTTTGTAGATTAAAATAAAGAAAAAAAAGTATAAAATTCTAACTTTTATGAATCATGATTATGTATGCATTTGAATTCCTTCTTTATATAGATCAAAACACTCATTTCTGTCTGATATGATTTGTCATGATGCCTAACGTACTATTTTTTTGCTTCATATGTCTTCACATTTCGTAGAACATTTTAATTTTCTCTTACAGAATATAATAATTTAATTACTTATGTCTCTTGAAATACGCTTCTACAAATTCATATCGTCTAATTCTTGTTTTTTGTTTTTCTTTGTAGATTTTCTTTTCCACTTTAATCAATGTGTCTGTATATCAGAATGTCAATTGATTCATCTTCTTTCTGATGTCTTTACATACATATATATTAAAATCTTCTATCGAAACAAAGGTTTGATTTTAGTTTCTCTTTTCTGTATTTATATTAAAATTTCTTTATGTTTAGAAAAGAAAATCAATACCAATGACAGACACAAGTAATCAGCAAATTGATTCATCATTATCATCAAATGATAGTAATAATAATAATAATAATAATAATAATAATAGTATAGAAATTCCATCGACAACACTTTCTAATCGTCGATCACAACGACGACGAACAGTAAGATTGAAAAAGAATATTAAATTTATTTTCTTATGTTTAATTCTCCTTTTATACAACAGAATGCTCAATCACAAATGCGAAGTAGTTCATTAACAACAACTATATTAAAAGAAAATGGTTGTACGAATGAATGTTCATTAGAAACAACAAAAGAAAATGATAATCAAAAACAAGAAAAATGTTCTACACCTGTATATATAGATAAACTTGTATTTAAAACATCAAAATTAAATCCAAAATCATCTTATTGGACAGTAACTGATCGACAAGCTGAATGGTATAAACTTACTATACCAGTCAATCAATCAACAAATAATAATAGTAATAATACAAAAGAATCATCATTAACAGTATCTTATCGATTATTACCAAATATATTAGAACGAAAAAAATCAAATT